TGTTTTGTGAGCCTTAGCTGTCTAATGGTAAATGAAATAGTTACATTGTGTGGGAGTATATGCTTAAGTTTCCTTTATGCATATTTTTGAGCATTAAAGCTTGCCATCACTAGTGTGTGAATGTGTGTGTGGATGGGTGGATGAGTGAACGTGTAAAGCGCTATACAATTACAGGCCATTTACCATTCAGTACCTTTGAGGTTTTTCTGAAGAATATTCTGGACTTTTCATTGTTTTGAATTGTTGCAATAAAAACAAACATATTAGCATAAAGCAAGTATATTTGTTCACTCCCATACTGTTAAGGGTATTAGAAACATGAAGAGTATCCTGTTAAAGTTTCTTTGGAACAGATTAAAAAAAATCTGTGATTAATTTGCCATTAATCTTGAGTTAACGATTGATAAGTATGCGATTAATCACAACTAAATATTTTAATCGACTGATATTAAGGATAGGACGCAGAAAATGAAGAATTATTAAGTTCTGGCTCCATTTTTCCTGTAATTTTTCTTATTTGAAAATAAAAATATTGTTACATCAGGTGATGTCATCCTCAGTTTAACCCATCACTCACACACTGCACTGCCATAAGGAATATATGTATTGTTACTAGGTTGGAAGGTAACATAAGGTTGTTATCACCATGGGCTTCATCCATTCAGAATGAAAAGAAAACAGCAATCAATTCTTTGATGTATATCTAGGTTTATTTCGCATGATAACTAATGATAACTTAACTTAAAGACTGATGAACTCCGAAAGAGATAACAAGGCTGCAATGTGAACGTAGCAGTGTGATGCTACGTTCACATTGCAGGTGAAAGCGCATCAAATCCGACTTTTTTGACCCTATGCGACCCATATCCGATCATGGTGTGACAGTGTGAACAGCACAAATCCAATCTGGGTCACTTTCGTATGTGGTACTGAATCCGATACATATCCGATGTTTTAGAAAGCTGCTGTTTGATGGTCATGTCGCATTAAATCCGTCTTTTACGTCACTGACACAAGAGAGACGCCGATTATCAGCTCCGGAGAAGACATCGCGAACGCTTCCTGGCCAGTGTGGATGTTAGTAAAACTGTTGGGAAGACAACGCAAACATTTTATTTGTACTGTGTAATCTGCAGATTCTGACGTAAAGTCCGAAACAAGTCTCTATATTAACATCAATTAATTAACCATCAGTCATTTAACACGGGTCTGACTCTAAACAGAGCGCGTTGTGTGTGACGTCTTCTTTTGCACATGCGGGCCACTTTGAGGGTTCACACAGGAGCATCACATTTTATTTGTAGTGTGACAAGCAGGCAAAAAAATTGGATTTGATCAAAAAATCGGAATTGAGCATTAAGGCCTGCAGTGTGAACGTAGCCTAAGTCATTACCTCAAATGTGGAGGTTTAAACTAGGAAGTTCTGTCACAAATGAAGCCCATGTTGAGGCCCGTATTGTGCTTCAGAATATCACGTGACCACAGATATATGAGGGCTAGTTTCTCTGACTTGATGTGACGTCATCATGTGATTTGAGTTGTTGAAAAGCGGGAACAATTTTTTTGTGTGAACTGGATCTGAGGCAATTCTGAGGACAAGCTAGCAAGGAGATTGTAAACAGATTATGGAACCACCAGAAAGGTGAAAATATCAGCTGTTATGGAGCATTTTGACATGATAGTTAGAGGTGTGTGTATACACTGATCTATCTATCTGTACATATACACACACACACACAGTACAGGGCCTCATATGGGTATGTTGCAATTGATACATCATTACGTTTACATATCCACTGCTATTTAGCTCACATGTATTATCACAGCATGGCTGCTGTACCTCAAATAACCAGCAAATGTCCATACTTCCAAATGAGCTGTTCAATGGAGCTACAATAGAGGTTTTGTGCCAAGGTAATTAACCCCAACAGAATTTGTTTCCCGTGCGTTGCGAGCGCGTACTGGGCCGGGAGAGTGGATCCAGTTGACTCCGCCAACATTCCAACCAACTACATGTAACAGTGTTTATGTGGTATTATTCCACTTGCCACAAATGTCAGTGTAATGGGGAAACAGCACCTACCCCCCCTCTCGGTGTGGCTGGTTAGGTGAGGCTGGCTGCAGTAATCGCTGCCAGTCTGCCGTAGACGTACGAGAGGTGAGTTGTATTGTTCCGCACATGATATAGCTAAGTAGTACACATAAAACATGTTTGATTAGCTGATGGGCACCAAGTCTAATAAGTGCTTAGTGGACACATGTCCAACATCAGTTTTATGTACTTTTCATTTGTTTATTACTGTGTAAAACTGTATGCTAAAGCAGAATGCTAATGGGATGTAGTGTGCTGTGCGGAGTTGTGTGTGGCGAGCCATTTGCACTGATACAAAACCGTTGTTTCCATTCAGGAAATAAAGTGGCAACGAGCGATCAGAGACTCCTTGTCTTCTTAAAAACAGAACACAACGCAGAGTCAAGGAGTTTGTTTGGGCCAAACTGTTGCAGCGGGATGAAGCAGAAACCGGTTACATACACACAGAAGTAGTGATTTTTGACTCTTGTGAAACAGTGAAGTTTTATCTTAGGGTGTTTTCACACCTGTAGTTCATTTATTTTGGTCCAAATCAGTTGATGAGTTTGTAAACTTGTAGCTTTTTCCAGTCATTAAGTTTCTTTAATTATGTTCAGTCCGTTCATTGATCCGATGTATCTGGGGCAGGAGCAACAAAAATAAATACAGCAAGAGGGTGCTGTGTAAGGAAACTGAGAAGTTACATTCATTTCATGCTTGTTGCTAACCTGTACAGACCTTTGCACATCTATAGTATCTGCCTGCATAGTTAGTTTAGACCACATTTACACCATAAAAAAACACTCTGAAGAGGTGGTCTCAGTGCGATTACAAATAAACTCCAAACCATGCAGTGTTTAGTCTGTGTAAATCTACTGTAATGCTTCTTCATTTTCCTCCCTGGTGCAGTTTGCTTGTGCAGGTGTGAACATAGTAATTACATTTGGGTGCAGATGCACCAAGACCTGTTGAAGGAGGTAATCTCAGTACAATTCCAAATAAACTCCAGAGTGGTTTGTTTAGTGTATGAACATGAGGCAATCTATAAGTTTACAAACTCATCAGCTGATTCTGACCAGATTAAATTTACTACAGATGTGAAAATGCTCTAAGATAAAACCTCTCTACTGCCGCTGTGTGTTCAAGTGTGCTGCACGTGTGATTTCCTCTGTAACTACTTCAACCAGAATTCCTTCCTAAAGGCCTCCAAGTTTCCCAGCATGACCTTTGAAATCTTGTCAATGAAAATAGTGGAAAATGTATTATAATAATTGTATTATTATTTTTAGTTAACCTATGTTTTTGAAAAAATGTTTCCTAGCTACTCCTTAATTCCTTTTATTTTAACAATCCTGTAAAACTTCGGTGTCTGTAAGGTGTGCTCGTCTTTGTCTCTATTAAACCTGTTATGCAACTAGTGTGGGTGTATCAACTGTGAAGCTACAAATAAACAATCCGTTGAACAGAAGCTTGAACACTCATCTCTCTCACCTGTGTAGTTACAACAGCCTGAAGAAAAATTATGGCTTCACCTACATCAGGTAAATTTATATTTAATCTGCTGTGTTTCTAATTATTATATGAAAAATGTGAATATGTGATCATAATCACTAGAATACGTTAAACCTAGTGCCATAACCTTTCAGATGTGTTAAACTGCAACGTTGAAATATGTTTCAGGTCCTGATTTGAGGATTGTGATAATAGGAAAAACTGGTGTGGGGAAGAGTTCCTCTGGAAACACCATCCTGGGAAAAAAACATTTCGAATCTCGTCCCAGTTCAGAGTCAGTGACTAAAACTTGTCAAACAGGTGAAACACAGTGGGAAGGGAGAAATATTTCTGTCATAGACACACCAGGAATCCTGGACACTCAGAAATCTGCAGAGATGATCAAAAATGAAATTATTAAATGCGTTGAAGTCTCCAGTCCAGGTCCTCATGTTTTTCTACTGGTGCTCCAAGTTGGTCGATTCACCACAGAGGAGAAAAACTCTGTGGAAGCCCTGCAGGAGCTGTTTGGTCCAAAAGCTCAACATTATATGATTGTGCTGTTCACCCACGGAGTTGACCTTGAAGACCAGGAAATCCCCATACAGCAGTATGTACGTGAAGCCAAATCAGACAAGCTCAGACAAGTCATCCACAGCTGTGGAAACAGGTTCCACGTCTTCAACAACAGAAGCAAAGACAGAAAGCAGGTGGAGGAGCTGATGAAGAAGATTGATGACATGGTGGCAGGAAACGGTGACACATACTACACAAATGCCATGTACAGAGAGGTGGAAGAAAGGAAACAGAGACAAGCTGACAGGGAGGACGAAGAATACAAGTTCACGAGTCAACTGATAGATCAGATTCTACGTTTTCATTTATGTCTTAAAAAAGAATAAAAAAACATTAGATGATGCAAACCTGTAGACCAATACCGGTGGTGTTAATTTGTCTTGATTAGCTTTGACCTTTGTGTTGAGTGCAAAAAAAAGAGATTTTAATAGTAGATGGATATGAAACCAAGGTGGTTGGATATGTTTATGCTGTTAAATGTAATTTACTGATAAATATATGCTTTAAAAATTATGCTGATTCGTACAAAAAAAGGCTCAAAGGATCCATATATTATTTTCAAGTTATAACAAATGCACAAGCAAAAACTTAAAACTTAAAAAAGAATTTGAGTGAACAAAATTCATTCCTGCGTGCAAAAAATGTATTTCAATGTTTGCTATTATCCACACACAACAGCAGCCCCTCTCGCTCAGTTTTTGCATTTGCGCTCGCTCGCAATGTGCGCTCTCAACATTTCTGCCCGTGTGCGCTCAACTCTTTCTCTACATCGTTATATTTGTGCCACAAAACCAGCCAATCACAGACTTGGATGCAAAAAAATCTGATTGGCTGTTCTGGTCTCCAATCAGCTCGAAATGACAAAATGCAATATCCCAGAATGCATTTCATCCAAAACTCAAACGAGGCAGTGGCGGAGTTTGAAATATTACTCTGTCTGTGTCACAAAATGAACTTCAAAGATATTTTCATGCGAGAATGGTGCCGTGTAAACTTCTAATACCTGCTCGATTCATCAAGACATCACATATTTGCATAAGAGCTCTGATGTTTTCAGAGATGACTGACTCCTTTAGAAATCTTAATCTTTTTGCTGTTTCCTGCTCTATGAAATATCACTCATCTTAGCAGCAGGATGTACATGAAAAGAAAAACAAATTAAGTTTGAGTGAAAATGTACATTTTTTTTTCTCTGGGCAACTGACTCAGTGACTCAACTGACTCAAAAAAACCAGATTCATTTTGGTGAGTGACTCATTCAAACTCGATTCAGTAAAAGGAATCAAATTCACCATCACTACTTTACACAGGCTGCAGCAGTTTCAGGCTCTCTGCAGTCGGAGAGAACTCTCTTTGCTGGACAGTTCAAATTACTGCGTTAAGCTGAGTTCCATTGTAGCAGTGACAGAAACACTGATTTAAACTGTATTTGTTTACAATTTGAAAAATAAAGTTTGCAGAATTAATTATTACTGTTTTCTGCGCAGAAGTAGGAATACTGCCAACGGTTATTATTGAATGTTGAACAAATATTCAAACCAGAGGATCTACTTGCTGCCGTTTTGGTGAACAGTGTGGTCGTAAAACCAGGGAAAAATGAAACTTGCTCCTGTTAAATATCCTTAAGTCTTGTGCTGTTTAAATAGTGGTAATTTTTCAAAAGATAAATTGAAGTAATTGATAGTAAATAAAGTAATGTTAGTGGTGGGTGATATCATGTAAACACTGTCATGATTTTATGTAAACATTTTGTCATTTGTAAACTATAAATGATGGATTCTACATGTAACTGATGTGATTTTCTTTAAAGTGGTTTTAATAACAAAAATAAAAAAGAGGCAAAAATTTGTTTGTTTCTTTATTCAACTTTTGAACAGTGGGACTCAGTCAGTACATATTCAGTAAATGCAAATTATTTACATGGCAGTGCACTTCAGGCATAAATCTAGACCCCTAGATAAAACATTATGGGTCATTCCCACAACCCACAGCTTTACTGTGTTCCTGCTAAGTATCCAATAGCAGTGACAACTCCTCCACAGTAGCAGGTGGGATCTTTCTTTTTTTAAAGGGCGGCTCCTTTTACCTTTCAATATGGATGGTCTGTTTATGTTTTGATCCAGAGCTGTTTTTGGGCAGCTGAAGAGGAGAGGTCTAACTTATGGCCAACCACTGACTGTATCTTGGTCACATTACCCAGCAAAACCCAGCATGTAGGTTCATCTGTAACAGTCCTTGTGCCATGGATCAACACTGTTGCTTCTACTTTAAACAGAAGAGCAGCGACATGGGTGCAGGTCTCCACGACTCCGGCCTTACAGGTGAAGTGGGCTTCAACCTTCCCTGTGATGCTCACAGTGACCCATGGCTGCAATGCTGGTTCATTCAGTCTTTGAGAGTGCAGTACCTGAAACACACACAGACAAAGTTAATTTAAAGACAAGAACTATGAGCCAAGGCAGACACAAATGTGTTTTATCTACTTTATCATAAATGTAACAAAGTGTTTAGAAAGTTAGCACATACATGTAATTTTTCAGTTCTTTATGTGTCCATCTACAGAACGCTGCATGTTATAGTGTAAATCTGCCTGTTCTGTCAGAAACCTGCCTGCAGAAAATGAACCTAAAGTATGTAATGCAAGGATGTCATCACTTTAGAGATGGAGAAAGCATAAAGTTTGACTTTAGGTGACAATTATGGACAAGTAATATGATAAGGAGATTCTGCAGGTCATTAATCAATGTATTATAGTAAACAAATAATTTTTAGTGACACAGGATACAAACATGGAAGCAAGATATATAATTAGGATTATTCATAATAAATATGAATAAATCATTGCAATTTCTTTAACCATTGAGAATAACTAAATCCTTCAGGACAATGTCTCATCAATGCACTGAACTCACTATGGCTACGTTCACACTGCAGGTCTTAATGCTCAATTCCAATTTTTTTTAATTTAAATCTGATTTTTTGTGTCTGGTTGTTCACACTACAAATAAAATGTGACAGCAAAAGTGCTCCTTTGTGAACCCTCAAAGTGAAGACGTCACACACAACGTGCTCTGTTTAGACCCAGACCAAACAGTATTGTTTGACTGATGGCCCTTAATATAAAGACTTGTTTCAGACTTCACGTTCCCCAATTTTGCCTTAAGTTATTTTGTTATTTACATAATAATTTAGATAACCTAATAATGATCCTTATTGCTGGTTTAGAGGAGCGCTGCTTCAAAGGATATCCAGATTTCTGTCAGAATCTGCAGATTATACAGTACAAAGAAAATGTTCATGTTGTCTTCCCAACAGTTTCACTAACATCTACACGGGATGGACACGAAGCGCTCATGTGTTCTCAATGTCTTCTCGGCGCTGATAATTGTCATATGTTTTGTGTCAGTGACATAAAAGACGGATTTAATGCGACATGACCATTCAAACAGCAGTCGCTTTCTAAAACATCAGATATGTATCGGATTCAGTACCACGTACGAAAGTGACCCAGATTGGATTTGAAAATATCGGATTTGTGCTGTTTTTACACTGTCATACCATGATTGGATATGGGTCGCATACGGTCAAAAAAGTCCGATTTGATGCGCTTTCGCCTGCAGTGTGAACTTAGCCAGAGCCTCCACATGTTCTCACTGTAATTTGCCCCTCATGAATGAATTTATGATTGCACTATTTTGAATGTTTGGGGGGAAATAAAATGCATTTTACGCACAGTACCCTACAAACGCCACTGCTGTTTAGTTTTCTGTCTTCATTTATGTTGGAAGTGATAACAGAGCTGTATGTTTGAATTTGTTTCCAAAATCCCTTATTTAGATGGAATCTAGCGAGCTAACTTCCTGCTAATTTCTAACTCTGTTAAATGTCATAAATTCCGTTTCGTTTTCGTGGATGCCTGGATGATAAACTCAATTGTTACACCTGGTAGAGCAGAACGCTGATCATTTTATTACAGATGAAAGACTTTAGATAGTTTTTCAACTCTCAGTGATGCCACAGTGATCGTGTGATTTATGGACCTGCAGCGGAGTTTGAGCCAAGACACGGCTAGTGACGTCAGACTTAAAGACCGGATAAAGAGTGATATGAACATGTTTAGAACTTACTGGAATGAAACTGTCTGGAGCACCAACAGATATTTGGAGATGGAAGAGAACTGGATATCAGCTCGTCTCACAGCTGCTATCCAGACTAGACGCCTTCTTTTGGTAACATCCGATACATGAGCTGCCTCATGTTGCTTCCAGGTGGGGAAAGAATGAAAAGATAAACCATTTTCAACCTTATTCCCTTGCCGGTCTTGTGATATTACGACCGCACAGCAAGTACAAACCATAGCGGGTGTTATCCGTGTGCTTTCTCTCCTCTTTCGCTAGCGCTTTGTTCGGCCCAGAAACATGGAGCCTCAACCAAAAATCCTGGCCACGCCCCCTCATTCTTTTGGCTCTCGGAGGAGGCGGATGCACTTTTTCTCCCTTATCTTCCCTGCTTATGTCCTTGTCTAGTCTCGTGTTTTTTGTATTACTTTCCCTGGAACACTCTCTAACAGTCTGTTTCTAAAACCCAAAGAGAATTATGGATTTGATCAACTGGTCTCTGAATGCTATTGACACCCTTCTCTCAACAAGAAGTCTGGGCTCGGGAGAGCCCGAGTGCCCTGGAGGGACTTTCCCTGCTGGATACACGATGGACGGGTGGCAGACATGGAGGATCGTGTGTCTGGTGGGACTGTCGATCGAGGACGCTGAAGATATCTACCTATTCGGAACCATGATAATAGGGTTCTTGCTGATCGGAGCTGGCTTGGCCCTGAGTTATCGGAGAATTAAGAAAGCGGAACGGCTGTTCAAACCCGCCCAAGGCTGCCCGCTGGGATTGAAAGGATGGGATGTGTCGCGACTTCTCAGAATGGGCTCACTGAGCACAGCATGGTTAAGACCTTGGAGACACTTACAGCTGCCGTGAATACTCAGAATAACACCTCTGAACGTATATTGGGATACACCAAGGAGAGGCCTGCTCAAAATAACACCTTTGAGCGAAAGTTGGATTACATCGTAGAACAGCTCACTGCAATCGGGAGTTCTCAGAATCGGCTCTATGAGCAAAAGAATGACAAGACCAGCAAGTTTGATAACATCATCGGGAAGCTCGCGGTTCTCCAACGGGAGATTGAGAGACCAGTGTCGGAGTGTTAAAGAACAGCTTTGAAATTCTCATGAGTTGTTGCAAAAGAAAAATTACCATCATAATGCGGCTATCCCTTCGGCGCCAGCTGTGGGCTCAAGGCCAAACAAAAACTCCC